TGGTTTCTCTATCTGTACATATCTAAGTGAAACTTGTCTCTTCCAGTATTGTATGATTTCTCTGTCTGTACATATCTAAGTGAAACTTGTCACTTCCAGTATTGTATGATTTCTCTATCTGTACATATCTAAGTGAAACTTGACACTTCCAGTATTGTATGATTTCTCTATCTGTGCATATCTAAGGAATGTTTCCAAAAAAAAAAGAGTGCATATTAGTAATTAAAGTTTCATTATTAATGTGTTTCTAAAACTTTTTTTTCATAATAACCATCTTTTTATTTCTTGCAATCGTTTGTTTAATATGAAAAAAATATTTTACCTGCAATTTGTAACTTGTATATGTTGTAGCTGCAATGTCATTACAGAATAAGAAGAAAAGAAGTTAATAAGTCTGCAACTGTCAAGAAAGTTTATCATCCTTAATCATGAACTGTTATGTTTTCTTATCAATTTGACCTAAACCCTGGTTCAGAAATGTCCAAAGATTCATGACTTGTTGAAATTATTAAAAATAATTTCATTTCTAATAGATTGTTTTTCATAATTAATTTTGTTGAAAAGAGCAAGATGATGACAATGAAGCATGAAACTTCTGACCTAGAAAGTGTTCAGCAATTGAGGAATGAATTAGATCAAGCTCAAGAAGAACTATATTGTATAGAAAAGGCATTGGAAACCAGTCGGTGGTCACCTCCTCCAGCCCTGCAGCTCTGGCTTCAGCTAACTCATGAGCTTGAGCTGCGAAGTTATAATGAAAAGAGAGCTACAGCTGAGCAACAGTTGAATTCTGCTAAGGAAGAGGTTGGTTATGATGATATAGTTTCTTTATTTGTTAGCTATTTGAGCACCATTGAATTCATGATTGATAAGTCATTGGTACATTATTAATATTATTTAAATATTTTGTGAGTAATGTATATGATTTTATTAAAGCTAGAAGTCTGCTATACAAATCTATAAAAAAAATTTCAGTGGTAGATGAGTTTTAATTCATAAGCTAGAGCATTCTGTTATGTGTATATGAGCTAAAATCAGCGTGTTTTGTGTTACTTTGATTTTAGTGTGAAAAATTAAGAAAAAGGAGGTCAACTTTACTAGGTGCTTTCAGAATAGCCCATGGGAGTTCAGTTGATGCTATTGATCACAGAATTCTTCAAGCTAAGTAATAATATTTTGTTGTTGTTGAATATTTTCTAAGACATTTATTACTTATGTTTCTAATTTCATTCTGGAATACATCTTATATTCAAAGCTTTTTGAATGAGAGTATGAGATAGTATGAATTTGTAAAAATTAATGCTTTTTTCATAAACATACCATTTGTGTTACTACAACATTTAAGTATAGTGTAGCAAAGTGTCAAATTTTAAGATAGTGTGTGATGGCACATTTTTTACCCTTTGAAACTAATTTTGGCCACAATTTTATCCTCGCAAAAAAGTAGATTTGTGCTTAACTACAAACAAGCAAGTCCTGGCAAAAAGTAACTAAAATTCGTATTTAAAACTGTAATGTATGTATGTATACATATACAAGGAATTCAAAAATGCTTAAAGATACCATACCAAAATTGTTTCTACTAGAATGGATGTACTGTGGTTGGGGAGAATCTAAAAATATCCATCTTTGGGGTTGTAAAAGGAAAAGTCTGTTTCCTGATTTTATAAAGTACTGAGAGTTCGTTGACACATTATTGTAAATTTTTTTTTAACAGAGTTTGTTTTATACATTTCTGTTTAAAAGAAATATAAGATATCATAAGAATTCTCTTCTCATAAAATATCTTGGTACATGTATCCTGTCAAATTTATTCTTGCTGTACAGATTTTGAGTATGTTTTCTGGATATAGTTTTAATTAAGAAAGTAAATACTTTACTTCAAGATACATATGTTAGCTTATATCTTAATTCATTTTTTACATATTTCTTTAATCTTTTAGTTGCTATCTACTGAACAGATTTGTTAGGTTTGTCCTGAAGTACAAAATCTTTATACTTTTGTTAATCAAAACCTATATTTGAATTTAATGTTTAGTTGTTTTTCTCTATTTTTTAAAAGTTGCCTGGTGGGTCAGTGGTACATTTATGGACTTTTAACTCTAAAATCCAGGGTTTAATTCCCCACAATGAGCAGAATACATATAGGCTATTGTTTAGATTTTTGATAAAACAAAACAAACAATGCACTTTAAATATAATTACTCACAATTAAAAAAAAACATTGATAGTTTACTCTTAAAACTTCTGAAAAATTTGTTGCTTTAACATTAAAAAAGGTTTTGAGTTCTTAAATAATATACTTATCTATTGATTTCAAAGTAATGGATATCTGTAATCAGAAGAGGGTTACAAGTTCATATATTTATCTATTTCAAAGTAAAAATAATCTTAATAATTACCACTTTTTTTATTTCAAAAAAAGTTGAAATATATTTTGTATTTAATAATCTACATGAAATTATCACTTGTTCTGTGCATCTGTAGTTACAAAATGCCATTAGCTGTTACTTTAACTTAGGTTTTTTTTACTTGCTTCATGATTAAAAAAAACAACGAATGAGTAACTTAATATTATCAGATTTAGAACTAGTAACAATTTATGTATGATTGCTTTGTCCACTTACAGTTATGACTAAAATGCCTAGTTGATTTTAGGATTGCAAGTTTTAAAGTGCAAAATCAATTTCTTTGAGTGAATCTTGATTTCATATTAATCATTATGATTACAGATAATGAAACATTACTCACAAGGGTGGATTGTTTTTTCACTTCACTGTGTATTTCTGTAAAGATGTGTATCCATGAATTATGAGCCTGGCTAATATTTTTCATGAATAATTTTTATTATTCTATAAACAGTTATACACAGATGTTATTAAGAACTTTGCACCTAATTTTAATTTCATTTTAAAAATCTAGAGCAGCTCTGTCAGAAGTTACTAAAGACCTGCAAGAAAGGCTATATCGTTGGAAGCAGATTGAACGTCTGTGCTCTTTTGCCATTGTGCATAATCCAGGTCTGAAGTATTTAGAATCTAAGCTGCAGAATGAATGTGTAAATGAACTCTCTAGTCATCCTTACCTTACAGGTTAGTCAGAAACAAATAATAGTACAGAGGTAAACATGGAGTTTTATGATAGCTTAATAACATACACCAAGTTTACTTGTATGTATTTTATATCACATTTTGAAGTATTAGAGCTTCCATCATCTTGTGGTTCTTAAAACATCTTTTTTTGAGTAATTTTAGATCTATAACTATTTTCTTGGGTAACATTGAAAATTCATTTATTTTGTAATGATAGAGCTATAATATTATTTTGAACTTTAATCAAATTTGCATACAAATTTTCATTCACATTTGGTTTAACCTGACAGAACATAGGTCGTCAGGTGCTCATGGTGCTGCAGTTGGACACAAATTCCACAGTTTTATTTTTGTCTATAACTAATGTTGTAACTGTAGTTGTTACTATCAGTACTTTTACTCTCATGCACAGTTCATGCTTGTCCTTTCAGCCAAGGGGTATTTATAGCATAACAGTCAATCCCCCTATTCATTGGTAAAGAGTAGCCCTAGAGGAGTTAGCATTAGAAGTTAACTATCTCTTTCTAGTCTATCACTTCAAAATTAGGAATAGCTAGTGCAGACAGTCTTCAAATAGCTTTCTGCAAATTTCAACAAACAAACTTCTTGTAGTTATAGATGAGGTAAAATGGTTTAATGAATTCATGAATTAATTTAATTTCTAATAAAATCTTGAGTTTGGAATATAAATATATTGAAGTGTATAAATAATGTTAATAATGACAAGCCTTACAAAATGGAGTTATAAAGGGCAGTCCCAGAGAAAACTAATTACATTTGTACACAACTTTTATTAAAAAAAAGTTCTTCTTTTAAAATTCTTTATTCATTCAATTTATTGCTTTAGGTACTAACTTTTTCATGTTAGTTGATCCTTTGTAAAGTGTTTTATATGTAGCATTTTCAACAGAAAAGTCCTTTTTTCTACCTAGATTTTCGTTTCTAAGGATATTAATAATAAGCAATGTATTCCTAATTCTGAATTTACTTATTTTAATAGTGAAAATGTATTTCTACAGGCTCTATTTTTTATAAATTGTATAACATGTTTTCTGTTTTATTCTGTCTGCGAAGACAATATTTCTCCTGTTTTATCATGTTTCCACCCAGAGGACAATATTTCTCCTGTTTTATCATGTTTCCACACAGAAAACAATATTTCTCCTGTTTTATCTTGTTTCTACACAGAAGACAATATTTCTCCTGTTTTATCTTGTTTCCACACAGAAGACAATATTTCTCCTGTTTTATCATATTTCCACACAGAAAACCATATTTCTCCTGTTTTATCTTGTTTCTACACAGAAGACAATATTTCTCCTGTTTTATCTTGTTTCTACACAGAGGACAATATTTCATACTGTTTTATCTTGTTTCTACACAGAGGACAATATTTCATACTGTTTTATCTTGTTTCTACACAGAGGACAATATTTCTCTTGTTTTATCTTGTTTCTACACAGAGGACAATATTTCATACTGTTTTATCTTGTTTTTACACAGAAGACAATATTTCTCCTGTATTTTTTCCTATGTTATCATGTTTCCAAGAGAGAATGGTATTTCTTGCCATTTTATTAAGTTTGCCTGAGAAAAAAGTACTTCATCATTTTTGATCATACTTTCATGAGAGATTCATGTTTTATAATATTTCTAATTTTTACTGGACTATACCAAAGGAAGTACATAAGAGTATTGATTGTATGCATCATCGTAGGTATTTCATAACTGAGGCTTGTGTCATGTGTTTTGTTATTATTTTAGTCCCCTTTGTTTGTCTCTTATATACTTGGATTACATCATTATGATTTTACTGCACAATATTTGACTCTTTCACACCTGGAAGATCAGTAAATCTGGCTTACGTATTTCATAACTGAGGCTTATGTCATGTGTTTTGTAATTATTTTAGTCCCCTTAGTTTGTCTCTTATATACTTGGATTACATCATTATGATTTTACTGCACAATATTTGACTCTTTC